GCGCATCGTGCCATCTTAAAATAGAATCATTTATCATGCAATAGCGGTCATCACTCGTCACAACAAATTAACACGTCATAATATAAGAATCAAATAACAATAGCGAATCGTTAATGCTACTAAGCATCTAACTAAACTGCGTCGAATAATGAATATCCTATGCCCTCTAAACAGTATCTCATTCGACGAATTCTAAACTCGAACTACATCAAGCATTCTATCCTAAAACCGCCACGCAACAACCTACGCCCGCCATCACACCACATCACACGCGCAAACATGTTGAAAATGATGATAAATGGAAAAGATGCAATCAAGTGAATAGCACTATATAATTGGTTCTCTTTGTATAGTCTGTCGTGCAGACATGCAGACATACACAGTTCCGCGGAATGTTTGAGAAAGTTCATCAAAGTTGTGGCAAAATTCATATCAAAAATATACCTAACGATGAGTATAGGGAGTTGCACAAGAGTGTGGAGGGATCAACATATTTGGAAGAAATGGGACTGAGATGACGATAGATATTTCGGTGGTATAAATATGAATACGGAAGAAAATAAATAAAACAGTAATAAAATATATTAGTGAATTTTCAAACTGAATCTTCCTTCGAAATCTTCCTTTATAATGGAATTATTCAAAAAATAGCATTTCGAACCAAACACCCGAAATCCCAACTCTACTGAGAAATCCCAATTACCAACCTCAGCATCTTGTTTCTGGCTTTCAGTTTTAAAAATATTAAATCTCCCAACATCATTCCACTTATTCAATTCACATTCCCAATCAAATTCTGCTCGATCGATTCAAGTGAAGAAATTGATATGTTACTAGTCAAAACTAAGTGTACGGTAGTCTTGAATATGGTAACCCCTATAGCATCACAAAAATTGCTATATCTCCTGGTAGAGGTAGAATTTCTCTGCAAAAATTTTTATTTTCTGAATCCAGAGGTTCTGCCCAATCGAACTGTGTGGAGAAATTGCTATGTTACTGGGCAAATATGAGAACATCCTTAATTTGGAGATGGTGACACTATTACTAATATACAGATTGATCAATCGAGATACATCGTATTGAAATGAGAACTGCCTAGCAAATGAGATACTTCAAAAAATCAGTGATTTCTGTGAATGTAAGCGAAATCTCCCAACAACATGGAAACCTTTCTAAAACTAGAAAATCTTGGAAATCTGATATAATGAAAAAATCAGTATTTCTGGGCAGATTTGAGAAGATCGTTAGTTTGGTTAACGTAATGTATAGATTGATCAATAGAAATAGAGTGAATTGAATTGAGAGGTGCCAAGGTTTGCGGGCAAGTAATCCTGTTATCGCTGAATGATTGATTGGCCATAAGCGAACAAATTTCAAAATTCAACTATGTATTTAAAAAAATTGCCAGCCAATTCTCTTATGTTCACATGTGCCCCTACCAATATGATGTGTTGAATATTATCAGTGTAATCACCACATTTATCATTTTTATCGCCTTTCATATTCATGAGAATTCCCATCATTATTACCACTCTTTCATGCTATCGCTTTGCCAAGCTGCACAAAATTCTTTTTCCCAATGTTTTGATGCCGATTGAAGCGAATTATTTACATTAGTAAAACGTTTATTCATTGATTCGGTTTTATCAAATTAGCATGCAAAAACGTTTTATGGAACAAAAACAAATCAATGATAGCATCTTGTCAGTAAAGAAATGAAAATGTGATGAAACTATAGAAAATTATAGAATAATTCATACAAATCATTTAGAATGGGATAGACATCATATCAAGTAAATGGAGAGAAAGAGATCAAATCGGTTCTCTCGAAAACAACAACATAAACAAAACGCAAATGCAAATGGTCATCTGACCACGATGGTCACTTCAATGGTCATCTGCTGTAAATATTTATCAATTGTTGCAAGTCTTCGTACTACTCATTTATACTAACTCGGATTGGAAATGGATCACTTCTAGATTCTGAATTAATAATTCACTTATAATTAACTCACTTTCCAAACATTTGCTTACGATTTCTCATTTTCATCAGCAAGTAATGAACAAATTTCTTCTCTTACAATTAGACTAATTGCGTTTACTTTGAATTCTCTTTTTATTCTCCAAAACCATCCCTCTCAAGATTCTTATTTCATCGCTACGAGGTCGAAACATCTCACAGACGGACAAGCACTGCTAAACGTTAATATGCATTTGAATATCTGGTCAATCTATTATAGACGACAATGATACTACAATAACGAATCGAAAAGCTCGGTCAATTCTTTGCTTCAAAAAAATGACGACACGACATAACTAAATGAGTGGAATCTGCAAATATCCACCATAGTTGCAAAATTAAAATTTTCAAAAAGTTGTTTTGAATAGATATAATATGATCGATAACTAGCAAAAAGTTTAGAAAAAAAGGTAGATTTGTTAAATTCGTATCGCGATGAATGGTCATAATTTGAAGTAACATTAACAATGAGTCAATACTAAACACATATACAACAATTTCATAAG